ATACAGTATTGTGCTTGATGCACTGTTATAAAGAACTTGTAAGATTTACTAGAAAAAAATACTTGCAACAATTTTGCACTAATGTTTAAGTAAATTTAAAAGCTACAAATTCATGTAATATTTACTCATCATTATCTAGTAAAAGTTATTAAGAATATAGTTAAAGATTTGTGATTAAATCAGGTAAATATTACTTAATTTGATCAAGTATATGTTGCATTTAATTGAGCAAATTAAGTAAAATTTACCTGATTTATTCACAAATCTTTAACTATATTCTTAATTACTTTTACTACATAATGATGAGAGTAAATATTACACGAATTTGTAGGATTTAAGTTTACTTAACAAACGTTAGCGCAAATTGTTCACAGGATTTTCAAGTAAATCTTACAAGTTATTTTTTACAGTGTATCATGTGAACATTTCCTTGACATAAGCCACTCAAAGCAGACTGCACACCAACTAAATCCCATAAATATAGATTATTGTGCAAAATAAGTTGTCAGAACATATCCTAGTTTACCTAGGAAAAGAACAGTATGTGTAATGTATTTAAAATTAGTAATAAATGGAATACATTTGTTCAGAAGTGCTGAATTTACCTAAACAAACAGGTTTCACTAAACTGAGCTAAGTAAATTGAGTAATTTACATATTTCTTTGAAAGAATAAAAATGTGTACAAATCATGTATATTTTATATTATGTAAAGTGCTTTACATTTAAATTCAACACAGATTTTTAGTCATAAACAACTTGTTTCATGATGAGTTTGGTAAAGAAATAAAATAATGTTTCTTGAGTTTTGAATGTAATGAAATAAAATTAAAAGTTGTGATTATAAAAAACTTACAAAAATACTTGATAAAATCTTAAACAAATGACTTAAGTACAGTAAGAAAGTAAATGTACTTAGTTACTATACACCTGTCATTTAGTGTCTTGGAACTTGTCGAAGTTCGATGAAATCAGCGTGTCGTACCTGAAAGGACCTGAAAACAACGTTGACACAAAAAAGTCCCAGCCTCCAAAACTGAAGTGACTTTACTGAGTGAACGATGACTAAAACACCATCTCTAACACACAAGTGCAGCCCTTCAACAACACTGCCAGGAGCTGAACACAACTTAGCAAAGTTGCCCTGAACGCAACACTCATCACAATGAGCACATTGATTCATTGTATCATTGCATCATGCAATGTGTGTGTCCGTGTATCTGCTGTCTGTGTGTGACTGTGTGTGGTTAATATGAGCTGAAATCAGCCCAGTGAGACACCTAATGACATGCTGCCATGTGGTCGTCAGCGTGGGCTCAGTATGCTCATTGTGTCGCTCCGGCTCGTTCTGCAGGAACGCAGCCATCAGGAGAACACACATTTCTTTGAAGCTTGTTGTTGTGGACAGCATGTTTGCTGTGGTAATACAGTCCACTCGCTTCACTTTTCTTAGTGTCTGACGAGCACAGCGACTCATTCAGAGAAGTTCTCGTGGTTAGGTGGACCAGTCCAGGAAATACTGTGTAAGTAAAACGTGTGGGGGTCATAATAAGGGCTGTTTATTTTATTTTTTTTTTTCTCAGTGATTTTTGGTCAACTGTAACACAAAAACAGCTGCACCGGTCAACATGAAATTAGTCAGGACTGTAGATGAGTCTGACCTACACTGATCCAGCCAACGGTTTTATGATAAACCCTATATTTGAGGAGGGGGCTCCTTTCAAAGAGGGGGTGTCAGGACATGCAAAACTGCTTATAACTCAGAAACTGTTCAACATAGGAGCTGCAGATTTCTTTTGGTGTTTAGCTCTGATGAAGCTCTATCCATCAGGTCAACCAACACCCCCCCACAAAACAGACCCCCACCCAAACCACTACAATTTTGGGATGCACCTATAGCATGACATTTATTAGGAATAAAGACTTCTGAGTTCAGGTGCATTTCTGCGTGCGGGGGTCATTATGTTACCTCTATGCAGTATCTAGTTTTTTTTACTAAAACCTCTCTAACTTTGCTCCAGTTCCTTTTAGCAGCAGGAATCTTTGCACAGGTAATGTTCGCAAGTGGCTTTATGTTTTCCAAGAGTTTTTAGCCTGATTTATTATGGTTTTAAATAGGTTATCTACTGTCTAATGAAACAATAATTCAGGTGAGAGTGAAAAAATAAACTCTGTTCCAACCTCAATATCTCTAAAACCACAGCAGCTGTTTTAATACTTACACTTCAGATGAAATCTCCCAAGTGTTAGCTTTATTTTGATACCAACGTTATTTAAGTAGAGTTTGTAAATTCTGAGATACACTCTGTTACATTTCAGCATGGTATTTTGAGAAAAAACTTCAAGAAAACCCCATGGGGCTTAAGAGCTTAAGTACTGTAACAAAGTAAATGTACTTAGTTACTATACACCTCTGTAAAAGATCTTTTAAAAGATCTACTTATCTGTCTTTTCAATTGTGAAAAGTGCAAACATGTCTTTTCTAGATGATCTTTCCTTCTCTTGGTGTGCAACAGACCTGAAACGTTTAAAAACCACACATTTGTGATGTAATAAAAACTACAAGTATAATATGCTAACTAGTCAAGCGCTACTTACCTTCTAAACAAAATCATTGTGTGCTGCTAACATAAGAACAATAAAGGTCCGGAGTTAAAGATGTCCTCAGTGACCCTGAGCTAAATAAATCAAAATGACTTCATCCTAACTAGATCCAAAACAAATAAATAAATAAATTTAAAAAAAATCACAGCCTTCCTACTGAAAAATAGATAAGTTGCTCATGTTTTGTGTGAAGTGTGGTATAATACCAGCAAACTGTTGTAAAGAACAAAGGTTTTATGTCATCATGTAAAGAAATAAAGGCTTTAAAACAATGAAGCTGTTTCAGGATCTTCTATCTTGAGTTGTAAAAATCACAGCAGGTCAAAAAGTACGTTTATTTATTAATTTTTTTACTAAATGTCAAACTGTTCCTGTCTTTAAAACCCAGTATATAAGACCCAGTCACTGAAGCCCACTGCTCAGCATTTACCTGTAGGATGGTGAAGTTTTCCAGCACGCTGTTCATCATGTATTTCTCAGGAAGATGTTTAAGCTTGTGGATGAAATTGATCATGTATTCACATAACGGGGACCGGTGGATCCGAAACACGTAGCGCCCATTTTCAAAGCGTGCGTACTCCGTCTGAAAATTACACATCTGTAAGTGCACAGTCCAAAATATCCAATATCTAAAAACAGATTTGTGCAATAGCACATAAGAAATATGCATTCTGGACAGATCTACCAGTGACACTTCAGAGGATCCACTGAGTCTACTTTGAGAAGCTGTGATGAGAGTAATGCAACACATCGAACGCAGCATGTGGCACGCCAGAGTTAACAATAAACATATTTCTCTTGACAACCGTAATCAAATGATGAAACCATTAAATATCATCATGTGGTCTACTGAGGCAGATGGCTCTACTAAGTGATGAGTGTGTGTGTGTTTTAATAATGTCCAATCCGTCAGCAGTGTGTGGGGGCAGGGCAGCAACTGTAACCAGGAAGTACAGGACTTAGACTGTGATTCATTTTTTTTTACCATAAATCATTTGTAACTGACCAGACTCCACCTCCAACAGAAACAGCTGTTAACTCAGGAAGTGATGGTTTTTTACACGTGTTTATTTTACAACACCTGTGACATTAGCATTAGCAGGTTAAAGGAGGAGTCCTAATCATCCACACATGAAATTTGAAGCAGACATCAAAAGAGAAGCCAGTTTGTAGACTAATCATTTATTATAATATTAGAAGTTTAGTTCAAATGAACAAATTTGAAGAATTATTGAGACTGTGGCAGCTGTCGTTCACCTCTCTCTCTCTCTATCTATCTATCTATCTATCTATCTATCTATCTATCTATCTATCTATCTATCTATCTATCTAT